CCCCACAGCAGGTTGGCACATAGCTGGTGTCTGGAAGAGGCTGTACATTTATTTTAGGGGACTTTTGGAGAGAACATTATTTGATACTCCATGTTATTTCCTGGGACCAGTGCGAGGCTTAGTGACCTTTGTCCAACTTTAGCATTTCAAAGCAACAAGCTTCTGATGTTCTTCTATACCTCAGGTGCAAGATGTCTCCCTCCCTGTGACAGCTGGATTTTCTTCATACCAGTAGCAGTGTAGTTACAGACAACTGACACCAAAATGTTAAAGAAAATCAGAGCACTGGCTTACAAATGTAGCCATGCCTCTGTGGATGCAGCTTATGCTGGGGTAGAGGAGCTAGCTGTAAGTTTTTTGGCTTAGTTATGTGCCTGCAGCAGTCAGCACAGCCAATGTGGTGCTGAGGAGCAGCATAGATGTTCCCCAGGTCACACCCTGTAGTGAATATTGGTTTATATGGATGGGAATGATAAGCATCTTGCAGTGCTGCGTAGCAAGGACATGCAAGAAGAGATCATCCAGCAGGGACCTCTGGGCTCTCAGTGAGTCACCAATAACTAATTTGCAGATATAGCTCAGGAGCTGTTGTATGAAGCTTTTGGTCATCTTTGTATGTTACATTTTGTATATATTTTGCATATTGGGAACTTTTTGTCAGTTGTTATTACCCAGAGTTACTTCTTCAGGTCTGCCACTTCTTCTGTAACTGTGTTTCTTCATCAGCTAGCCTAACGTCTCAAGATGTCTTACACTAATACCAAATCACAGCATGGTTGGAATACTTGTGTGATAGCATCATCTGTCACTGCTGAACAGCACCATCAAGGAAATGAGCAATATTTCAAACTGGAGAAGAATGAGAACAGACAAAACAAGAAGGGATACTGTAAACCTTTGACTCCCTGGCAGGGAGGTGGATACCCAAGCCCTGAATGTCCAGAGAGCTGCATATGCCAACACCAGGTTCTGTTTGAAGATCACAGAATCACAGAATCAGAATGGCTGAGGTTGGAAGGGATCTCTGGAGATCATCTGGTCTAAAATCTCTTGGTGAGAGCCAGGACACAACTTCCTCCTAGCCTGCCTAAATCTTGTAGGGTTTCACTAGATTTGGTTGGATACAGATAACTTAATAAATGGTACTTTCACCATAATTCCACAAATACATAGATAGTGGCTTTACAGCAATTTAAACTAATTTTTAAAGACTCTAAGTAACTTAGTAGTCACAGCAGTTGAGAAAATGCTCTCAATTATGCTCAGTTTAGAAATTCCAAACTTAGAAATACTGCCTTGTCATTGTTATCAAGATGTTCTCTGTACTGCATTTCAGCCCAGCGTAAATTAGCTATGGAGGAAAAAAGAAATGGGAAGAAAAATGCAATAGAATTTGTAACAAAGCGGCAAAACCCAGCTTAAAGCCATGAAAATAACATATATTATCAAATAGGACCTTGTCACCTGCGTCACACACTTCCTTTTCCAATATCATGACACAGCCCCATCTCACATTCCATCTCTGAGACACAGTGCAAAGGCTATGGGTGGTTTGATGCAATTTATCCATGCAGATAAGAAATAATGTTCCCTTCTTTGAGGTACAGGCAAGCCCAGTCCTGGATTATGTGCTTGGCTTTCCTCAAGCCACAGCCTCCACTCATGTTGGTACATGATTTCCAAATAGCCACCTTGACTTGTCCTCCAGGTGGCAAGTTGCCCCATCACCTCCTCCCCAGCCTCAGCTACACGTCCAAACAGAAGGACAGAAGGAAATCCTATGCCTCCCCCTCTGGTTGCCTCAGTTTTTCTTCAGAGACTTCTCCCAAGTGTTTCCAGGGCCACACCATCCCAGCAGGATGTGCTCCCCAGCCCTCAGCTGCACGGGTACCTCTGCAAGTGGGGTCCCTCATGGGGCACTCATTTTGGTCAGAGCCAGCACAGGGCTCCACTGAGCTGCAGCATTCCAGTCATGGGCAAGGGCATGTTTGGAAATAACTCATTTGAAGAATACCTGTAGAAAAAGTGTAAGAGAATAAAGAGTTAATGACGAGAAGCCTGTAGCCCTTCCAGATATACAAGGTTACTCTTATACAAGGACTCAGTGACACTGTAAATTCCAGGGTTATGAGTGAGTAACTGAGACTGGAATCTGACTCCTTATGCCTGAAAAATTCCTTAATTGTTATTAGGATGGACATACTACAAACCATTATTTTAAAATAATGCTGGCTGGGCTTGGAAAATACACATTCAAATAGTAGGAAATGATAATTTTAAGGTTATGAAGCACACATAATCTTTCTGCACAAGTGTGTATTCAGTAAGGCAAGGTTCCTGGGGAAAATGACAAGTGTAATTAAAACCTGTCTCATCATGCAGGCACACAGGGGAGGGCAAGCTGTGATTGTAATGGTAACTGCTCCTAGCAGGTGTTTTTCTTTTAATATGAGGTATTAAATAAAACTTCCTGTGTTTATTAACCCAAATACTGTCCTGAATGCTTCTAACAGTGCCTCTGTGATGTTTTGCAAACTGAACTTGAACTGTAACTTTTGTCTTCAGAGGTACAAAACTACTTACCCTGGCTATGACTGTTATAGGGATGTGGAGCACTGCTGATGCAGAAAATGCTTTCACACTCTGGAGGTTGTTCGTTTTCTGTGCTGAAGATCTTGGGCTGGTTACAGTGTGGTGGGGATGCTCCACATCTGGTGGGGGCAGAGGAGATCCTGCCAGAAGCGCTGCCTGCAACTGTGAGATGATGAATGTGATCAACTACACTTTTGATAACAAAGAGTCAAAAGGGGAGAAGGCAGAGCTGGAGCTGGGCACTGGCTTTGGATAATCTGAGCCTGATGTGTCACTTCAGAAGGGCAAGGTGCTGGGTCTGAAAGAGAGGGAAGCTTGGCTCCACTCTTCCCCCATGACACTTGATAGTTCCCAGGTACCCCCAGTGCTATAAAACTATGTGGGCTTTTATGACTTTTATTTCAAGTTCATTTGTTATTTGCTGCCAGAACTCTCCCAAGGAATGTTGACAAGAAGTGGTAAATGGTGATTAATTTAGACAACCTAAGTAGAGGACTCATGACGGGCTTCTCATGTAATACAAGAAAGTTAACAGCTTGCTGATGTCCTTTTGTGAGTGAATTGTGTAGCCTGGTTGTTTAATGGAGTGTTTAAAAATTGTGTTGGCAATAGCCTATGAATAATGTATACAGGAATAATGAAATACCTTACTGCTAAGAAACTGCTGATATGCTGGGGAAATTTCCATCAGATGTGAGAACAATTTTCAAAGCACTGTCTTCTTGAGATGCCCTTTATTTATGGTCTTGCAATCTTCAGAGATTGCATTCCCTTTTTAGATACTGCATGTGAAGATGCCCTCTGCTGCCTCTGCCTCTGTCTTCCAGCTTTCATCTGACTCCCTTTGCTTGTGTCTTGTAAAAACTCCTGAATTTCGATGAGTTCAGGCTTTATTAACTGAGCACCATAAGCATGAAGATATTTGCTGTGCAGCCTTCAGTCATTCTAGGTATCTGCACCAAGGCATGTGCATGCTGGTTCTGTGTCACGGCAATGTCCCATGATGCAGGAAGCAGAAATAGGGCCAAGTGATTTGGAAAAAAAGACCAATGTTTCTCTTGCAGGTTTTTGGAGCATGGTCTCCTTGTGTGAGATAAGCAATCCCAGAGTGTCACACATGGATGCTGAGATTTTTATGGACTTTGCAATGCAAACCCATCTCTGATAGCTCTAAATTTTCCCCCATGTCCTCCTCCAGTCCATGAGGCCTCTATGTGCTTCAGCCATGAGTAGTGGGAAGTCACTGTGATACTAAGCAACTAAATCTTGCTTGACCAAAAAAATGAGAGGATTGAGAGTGAAGCCCTGCTTGCAGGGGAGCTCTGGAGATTGCACTGCCCTAACTGCAGGAGGAAACAGGCCTCCTAAAAGACTCCAGGACATAGCTCAGGCAGGCATGTGAGGCAATCAGTCTCTTCCTCTGCTCATTTTGGCCCGCAGCTGCACTCCAGGAGAAAATAATCGCTTTGTTTCTCATGCAGAGTTTTATGCACATGCACTAAAATGCAGAAGTATCCCAGGAGTGCAGGTGAACACAAGATGTATCTTATCACTGTCCAGAATGGTCTCAGCTAAGTGTACGTTAAGAGCAGACCCAGCTTGTGGAGTCTGTAGCTTTGTGCCATGCCTCTGCTCTGGCTTTGTTATGAGGAGCCTAGTGCTCACACTGCATTTTTGTGGCTGGATTTATGCAGCAGAGCCTTGAGTCAAAACATTTCCTGCAATATAGGCAGTATATTATTAGTGTAATGCTAGAACAAAGCAACAACAAAGAAACGTGTGACTGATGTTGATATTAGTCAGCTGAGGAAGTGACAGCCTCACCTGGGAGGCTGATGTGGTGGGTTCTGAAGTCACGTGGTGATGCTGACAGCAAGCTCCAGGCATGAGGCTACAGGGCAGGAGAGAGAATGGGTTAGAAGAGAAGCAGTATCCTGAGGGTGATCTGCAACCAGCTAAGAAAGAGGATTCGGCAAAATGGGAGGGAAGAGTTGCACTTTTATTAGCTTATGTGCTGCTAGGGGATGCAGTATTTTTGCAGCTAGAGGAAAAGGAGGTGTATAAACACAAGATAAGTTGCAAGGACCACAAAAGAAGTTTGACTGATGGCCTAAATGTTTTCAGAACAAAGAAAGAGAGACGGTATCAAAAACTTCCTCCCATCTCCACTACCAAACCCTATCCTGCCAGTCAAGAAGTGTTTTCAGCAGAGAGGACTGCAAAGGTCTAGGCTGAGGATCATGGTCAAGTTCAACCAGCCTTTCTTGGGATAGAAATGCTGCTAGCTGACAGTATACCTGAAAGAGCAGCTTTCAAAAGGAAGGAGGCAGTTCTGTTATGCCGTTTATTCCACTGATGCTGCTGATGATCCTATTAATTTCTCTTTTTTTAATGTTTGTTTCTTTTAGGTGAAGAGTGAAGGCCCCAAACTGGTGCCCTTCTTTAAAGCCACTTGTGTCTATTTTGTTCTCTGGCTGCCAACTTCCAGCCCCTCCTGGTTCAGTGCCCTCATCAAATGTCTGCCCATCTTCTGCCTGTGGGTTTTTCTTCTGGCTCATGGAATTAACTTCTTAGTGTCACACCGGAGCGCCAGCCGCATCCTAGCGGGACTCATATTCTCGGCAGTGGGAGATGCCTTTCTCATCTGGCAGGAGCAGGGCTACTTCATTCACGGTGAGTGTGGTGTGAGTCCTAAAGGGATGCCGCAGTGTCCAGGTGTTACCCTCTTTTTTTAGTAATGAGTTGCTGGGCCACATGTTTTGTTTATTGCTGTACAGCTGAAGCCCCAGGCAGTGGGAAGCACTCATCCCTTGACTAAAATCCATTGTGCGTAGAGGAGTCACACTACGGATGAGTCTTTCTCTTGAGTTTCTTTTGAGGTCAGGGAAGTAATTGGGGCAGGTTTGGTTCCCTGGCACATGCTTGCAGCATCTCAGCTGTCTGGAGCTGGGAAGGTGGCCTGGGCAGAATCTCTGGGGAAGAGACAGAAATGCTCCTGGCACTTGACAGCTCCCATGAAGGGGAAATATCTACCTCCTATCTCTGCAGGAAGATCTGTCAGCCCTCCTCTACAAGGATCAGAAATAGGACACATGATGCAAAGGTCCTCAGTGGAAAACAGGTGAAGAGGACCCTTATATTTTGATAGACAAGCCCATAGCCTCAGGGAGGTGTTTAAGTGGATGCTAGAAACCGAAGCATCAGATACCATGTACTACTCGCGGGTTCATCAGTATGAATCATGCAGCCTGTTGTACAGGACATGTCTGTTTTGCAAGATGTGTAAATGATGGAGAATCAAGGGCAAACCCTGCCACAATGGCCTGTCTTCTCTACAGAAAAGATCCACATCTCAGAGCAAAACAAGCTTGTTTTATTTTGCTAGTTTGCAGACTAGAACATAATGACTTAGATTAATCATTTAAAGACACATTGAACCTGCCTGCAGCAACACTCTCCCTGGCCTTGGACTGCCAAAAGAAATCGGCAGCAGTTGAGTCCTTCACTAAAGTGACTGATGGGGTTTCTAGAGTTAATTTAACCAGCACAGGGATCTCGTGTAACACCCACCATTAACTGGTTGCTCTGACTGTCCCACTGGAAGATGTGATGAGATGAGGGAACCTTTCTGACTTGTGCTGTTGTCAGCTCTGAAAGTCAAAGGCTTATTTTTTTCCCCCTCTCATGGGGTCAGGATTTAGTTTTATTCTGAAATTCCCACAAGCTCTTTCTTTATGAGAGAGAAGTGTGTGAAACGCCAGATACGAAAGGCCAAATGCTCTGAATCTGGTTTTAATCCTGCTTCCCAAGGGCTTATCCCAGTCTCATTAAAAGTTCATGTAAAATTTTTTACTGATTTTGATGGGATTTAGATTATGCCCTGAGGACTGGGTCTATCTGGCTGAACTTTGGGCATGTTGCTGAGGAGCTCCAGCCTTGGGGTGCCATCCTCTCTTGTGCTGAGTGTTGGCATTCCCACTGACGGGCCTCCTCCTAACAGGAGTACCTGGCTTAGTGCAGGTCGCTTCAGCCTGACTGCTTGTGCTTCTGTTTTGCCTCCTGGAGTTGCTCCTTGAGCTGTGGCTTGGAAAACATTCAAGACCTGATTCTCACCATGACCGTTTTTGTACTTGAACTGTGCTGAGCTTCTCCTTTCCCATGTAGCTGGGATATCTCCGAGTCCCCTCTTCAGTTTAGCACTAGAGGAAGGTCAGCCAGTCACAGCAATTCAGTATCTGGTAATGTGTTTTAATCTGCAAATAAGTTGGATTTTTGACCCTAGCCTCACAACTCAGACATGTTGCTTTGTGGGTTTAGACACATTTTTCTTCTTAAGAAGAAAAACTCTCTTGGAGCATTTTGAAAATCTCAGCCTTCACCCTGGCTGTCTCCTGCCTGCCTCAGTCCGTGCTAATCTGAACTCCCATCTTCCATAGTGAAGTGTTAACATTTGCGTTTCAGCTGTTAGCAGATAAAGTGTACCACCCCACTTCATCCTTCACCTCTCCTGCAAAATGTATTTTCTCCTATTTAAAACTCAGCAGGCTGCTGTTGTTGACAACTGACAATACTCAAACTTTTGACGTCATTATTTGTGGGAATTTGAAATTTCAGGGGAGTAAGAGGAAATATTAGATAAAAATGCACTTTCTGTTCAATTTCTGTGGCTTTTAGGTTGAAAAAAGGGTTGGGAATTGGACTGATTTGAATAGCTTTTGAAACAATGAGTTTATAAAAGGACATTTGTTTGTTACTTTATAGGGAAGTGAGAGCCTGGGAACCTACTCCTGGCACATTTGGCTTTCTTTCATTTTTGCTCTTTCAGTCTACTAATAACACCCTATTTTCTGGACTAGCGTCTTACTGCATGTAGAAGGTACTTTACAGTGTTAACATCCACCTCCTTGGATAGCAGGCACTTAGAAACCATTTATGCATTCGGTGAAGACAACAAGGACTAACAAAAAGGACTGGTGGCCAGCCTGAGGGGACACTCCAGAGGCAGGGAGGGGGAAGGAAGCGGGCAGAGAGGAGAAGGGCTGATCTGCCTGATGTGGTTGGGAGGCCCATGCCAAAGGCTGTGAAATGCACCCCCCTCCCTGTGTAGCTGTTGCAGGTTTCCCCAGTTCCTGGCTTGATTTGTGGGTGTTGAATGAGCAAACCTGGGAGATGACTCCTTTGTTTGTGACCAGCCTCCCCACTTATCACAAAACTCCTCTTGCCTTTTTGGACTTCTGCGTGGCTGCTGCATCCTCTCCTCCTCCTCTTCATTGCCAGCTGCCTGCATGAAGGAGAACACATTCTTCAGTTCCACATCCCAGAACTCTCCATATAATGCCACTGAAGGAAACACCACTCCTCACTGCTAGGGCAAAGTAACCTTTTTCTCCTTACCACCCCCAGGGCTCTACCCTTTCCTGCACTGTAACACTATAAACAGCTCTTGTCCTAAATCCCTCCTCAGTTTCCTCATTGCTGTGTCCACGATGTATAATAGTTCTGTGAAACATCAACTTCTCATTGCCCTTCTCTGCACTTCTTTTCCTTCCCTTTCACACTATCCATTTTCTCTAGCTTCACCTTGCAGACCAGATCCCCACCAGCCCCCTCCCTCCTGCAGGTTCCCCTCTCATCCCACCATGGCTGATCTTTCAGTGGATGTCTGATCTGATCCTCCCCCAAAGGCAGGGAGACACTTCACCTTCTTTGAGCTGCTTCAACACAAAGAGTATGAGGATAAAGAAGTGTTGGCCAGCAGCAGGTTTTACAGCAGCAGGTGTTAGTGAGTGCCCTTCACACCACAGCATCATGCTTTAAATGTAAACAAGTGTCCTGCTGGAAGACTCTGCTTCCCAGATCCTTTTATTCTTTTCATGCTTTAAAGCTGCATGAAGACTTCCAGCTACTGTAAATGCTGCCAGGATAAAGTGGGACAGCCTGCAGCTGCACCACGTGTGGGTCTGGGAACCAGAGGAGCTGGACTCCTTTTGGGGCCCATTATCTACAATCGGCACAACAACTAGTAGTCAGCAGCTGTACCAACACATTGTGACATTTTTTGTCGAATGGATTAGTGGCAAGTGAGTAACACGTGGGCAGTACCTTCCAACACCCACATCTGACATTTCTCAGGGGTGTTGCACTTCCAAGGGAAGCTGGCATTTTATTTTCACTGATTGGTTCCAGCTAAGGTTCACCTGAATCTTGCAAATTGCCATAAAACTGTTGGTAAATCACATTGGTGCAGTCCCTGAAATATGCCAGCTGCTCCTTTCCAGCTTAGGTTTCTCCTAGCTATGGGCAGAGATGGAGCAAAAGCCAGATTTAGTCCCTGAGTGCCTCTGGGTTTGTGGCTAAATACGGTCAGGCTTTGTGTCTGGGTTCGGAGGGATCCGTATCTTTTTTCATATTTTGTTCCTACACTGCTCTGATTCCAGCTGCCCTGTTCCACACATGACCTATGAGCAAAACACTCTGGATGGTGAGAAGGGGATGATCTTTAGGCTGCCTTGCTCCCACCCTTCCATCCAAAGCAGGGGAGAAGGAACCACCTGAAAAACAAGCTCTGTTCCTTCTGCAGCAGCTTAGTTCACTGGGCCCCTCAGCAGAAGGGATTGTGTCACAGCAGAGCTGTTCTCGGCCGCAGCTGTAGATACGCTGGAGCTTTTTGTTAAGGCAGGAGCTTGGTGCTAAGGGTAATGTCCTATGCAAAATTTTTATACTAAAATTGTCCCAAGTGGTCAGTACGGGTCCCACTCAAAGTGTTAAGGGTTGTAACACTACAAGGACATCTAAGCCTCTGCGTGTTGTGATATATTTAAAACCTCACATAGCCACATGTTTTCTTCTGCTACCAACTGCCTGTCACTGATGAAAGGTCACGCTTGCTATGTTAATGCCTCTTTCCAGGTCTGCTGATGTTTGCCATCACACACATCCTCTACTCTTCAGCCTTCGGCATGAAGCCTTTGGACCTCAAAGCCGGCTTGTTGATGGGCCTTGTTTCCAGTTCCTGTTATGCCTTCCTGTACTCCTACCTCTCAGGCCCGTTCACCTACCTGGTAGCTGTCTACATCGCCTTGATTGGCTTCATGGGCTGGCGAGCGGTCGCCGGCATGCAGCTGTGCAACGACCTCTGGACATGGACCAAGCTCTCAGCCTGCATCGGCGCGATGCTGTTCATGGTGTCGGATCTGACCATTGCGCTTAACAAGTTCTGCTTTCCTGTGCCCTACTCACGCTTCATCATCATGGCTACTTACTACGCAGCCCAAATGCTTATTGCACTGTCAGCTGTAGAGAGCAGAGATGAAGAGGACTTCAGAAAGAGGAGCTAGGTGGAGTGCCAATAGTCTGTGAACAACATGGGTTATATCTCAGGTCCTGTAGCTGCTTTCACCCCTGAGAGAGATCTCCATTTCTCTAGGCACATTGGTGATGTTGATTTTGCTTCTTTGAAGCATTACCTTTGGGGCTTTTTTTTTTCAATGGCTTTCTCTGAATACAGCTTACTTCAGTGTGGAGTCCACATCAGAAAGCTTAAACTGTCCCTGCAGTAGCTACTCATTCAACTTTTCTTCCTTGGAAGTGCTGTACTACTGCATTTTACTTACTAGTCTTGAAACTGATGCTGAATGTCTGGGAAGAGGAGGGAGGAGGTTTGGCTGTGCACTGTGCTAGAAGATTTGCTTTCAATAGCAGGCAGACAGGCACAGATCTCTGCTGAAGTCATAGGTAAAAATTAATTTAACTGCTGTCTGTCTCTTTTTGTGCATTACAAACTCAGAACACAAGCTGGAGTTATTGCCTCTGCTGAAAGGAAGCCTGGAAGTAGAGTAAAAACAGCATATCCAGATGAAGGCTGGGCTTTGGAGTCAACGGCAGTACGTGGGGCAGCCCCCAGCGAACCAGAATGAAAGCAAAACACCGAGCAGAGGGCACAGAGCAAGAGGTGCACTGACTGGCAGTGCTGTGTGCTTTGGTCACAGCTGATCACTGCTCCGGGCCAGGTCTGTAGGTGCCTGTCACATGTTGCCACGTGTGGCAGAACTAGTAGTTTGGCGGCATTTCCAGGTAGCCAGGCCAGTGTGTTCTCCCATGGCACGTGTGCACAGTTACATGGAGTCTGCGGCCACTGGTGACAGCTGAGGTGCAATGGGCACAGGAGGAACTTTGATTTTTAGAGCAGGACTTTGAGCATATGTCTTACTAATGTACGTCCTAACTGCCCTTAGTACAGCAGACAGGGACTTAACCTTTATGCCTTTCTTCCTCAGTGTCCTAAGAAATAATATTCTATATACTCATTCAGCTTTACAGTACTGCTGCTTGCGGTATCTCTCGAATCTTTGCGTGAGCATTTCCCGTGGTCAAGGCCCTGATTTTGGATGTAGATTGTTGTTGTGTTTTGCCAGCTAGTGATAAATGTTCAGATTTGCACCATTTATTTTTGGAAAACTCCTTTTCAGCAGAGTTTCCTGAAAAGCAGTCTTGTGTGTTCTAAGTGTCTGCTGCTTCCTTCTGAACTCACATGGATGCAGTGAGGATGTGAGAGCCATCAGGGCTGGGAAAGCCTGTTTAATTCTGATCCAAATTCTTTGGTTGGTTTGTCTGCCCATCTGCTGAAGCAGGATTAATTCTGACTTCAGACTCTCTTAAAAAGATCTTATGAAGAGGTTGCCCTGATTTTAAATCCAAGCTCATTTGTGATCGTATGTATATTTTTTCCTCTTATTTGGGATATCTAACCGCAAGCTCTTGTTTCTGTTTGAAACTATCTTGCTTTTTCATTCTGCCCCTTCTAGGGCTGTTCCTATGAGTTCATATGCTCCCCTGATGGCTTCTTTTAAGACACGAATGCACTCAGTTGTGCAAAAGAAGCTGGGCGACAGTTTCTGCACCTCTTCAAACCTGCAGCAAAACAGGGACAACCAAACAGTCAGCACAACTCAAACCCACGCTCGCATGGGCAGAGCAAACAGGAGGGACAGCCCTCCAGACCAGCCTCGTGGGCTGAAATCACCACGGTCTCCATACCTGGCATGCCCAGACCATTCCAGGCAAAAGCCTGGCACCGAGTCCCTGGCACAGTCAGCAGAGCAGGAATTCCTCTTTGCGAGGAGCACGGCAGGTCAGGGGGCAGCTGAGGAAACCCTACCAACCCTGCTAGCTGCTAGCTTTTCCCTTGGTGTTGAGAGGCACTAAGCGGGTCTCCTGCTCCTCCCTGGCCTCGCGTGGTGGGACTGGAACAGGCATTGCTTCCCCATGGCTTCTGCATTAGTGCAACTGCAGCCATTATTCCAAAAAATCTAGGTTAACCATCCTCACCCCGTGGAGTCATCTGCTGCTTTTCAGACAGAGATCAGAAAGGTCAGCTGCATTATTAAGAGGGAAAGCATAGTAAATAGCACAGCCCCGTGTAATCTCTTCCCTTTAATGCTGTTGTGTAATATTATCAGATTCATTCACTGGCTCACTGGGCCCCGTCTGGAGTAAACTGCTAAGGGCATTCAGAGCCATAAAACATCTTCATTCATCAGCACTGCTTATCTCCTGGCCGCAGCTTGAACCCTGCCGTGTAGCTCTCTGCGGATGTCACCTGCTGTTACTCAGCTTGACTGTTTGCAAATCTCTTCCTGCAACAAACTGACCCAGTGAAGAAGAAATTTGGGGTGAACCCCACGGTTCTCCCAGCATCTGAGCAAATAGCACATTTCAGTCTGATTTACAGCTCCTTGTCATGGGTCAGTCCAGCACACTCAGTCCTCAGCTGACAGTTCTTCAGAGGGGCCTTCCACACCCCGAGCTTCCCTTTGCTTTGAGGAAAATGTGCATGTGATAAAGTAACCTTTATTTAGAAGTCAGAATTTTGATTATCTCTTCTTCCCCTCTAGAAATGAGTAGTCTTCAATTTCCTGAAAAGGCTGAGGTGCTTTTCTGCATGCTTTTTTGTCTGGGCTTGCTCTGTTATCCTGCTTCACCACCAGCCACTGGATACTCGCAGAAAAGGATCTTGTAAGTGTTACTAGGAGGCCTGCCCTCTCCTCTCCACTGGCCCTCAGAGGTGCAGTTTCTAGTGGCAGAGGTCTCTGGGTGGCTCAGTAGAAATGTCTGCAGCCCAAGTAGGCTCTTGTTCCCTCACTGTCCCCTCACCTGGAGCGGGCTAGCTTCAGACGTATCCTGGCCAGCCATGCTGGCTCCATCCCAGTACTGCAACAGCTTCAGCCTTCCTAGGTGCATTCTTCCTTTTAATCCATATTACTTGAATGAGACCATTTTCCTGAAGGCTCTTTCCTGCTGGGAAGAGATCAGCTGCTGTGGACACTCATTTGACGCGATTCTGAGTTCTGTAAACCCTGAGAAACACTAAGCAGTTGCTGACAGACTGTTTAATACCTTTTCTTGGGATTAAAACTTTTCCCTCAACCCCAGCAAGCACAATCTTCACTTTGAATGGGAGCAAAGAAGAAGTAGGAATGCTGTGTCTGTGGCACTGCCTTTGTGGACCTTCCTGTTGTCTCTTTGCACAGTGAAACAGCAAGGTTTGATCCATTCTTCTCCTTTTCAGGAGTACAGTCTTTGAGAAGTGCTCAGTCTTTGCCCCAGAGACATTACAGAGGGAATGAAGCACCCAGCAATGCAGGGTGCCTGGCCCCAGCAGGATCAGCTCCTTTGCTTGCTAAGTAGAGAGGCTTTCTTTTCACACTGCTGTATTCAAACACCCCTCTGCAACTCCTGTCTGTGGTCACTGGAGGTTACACACCTGGTGCGATTACTTTTGCTCTTTCCTTTCTGTAGTTATCACCCTTCTGGAGATCTTTTGGCTCCTTAGTTGGACATACAAAAGATGTAACATTTATTTCAGCCTTGTATCTCTTTCTGTAGATAGATCCTCCTCACACAGAATGCCTGATGAAGTCAAAGAAGCAATGCCAAGTGCAACTGGATTTTAAATGCTAGTAATGCTTCTGGGCTGTGCCAGTCACACAGATGTCAACAGGGTGAAGCTGGTGTAGAAATGGCAGGTTGAGAACAACAAAGCCAGATGTTTTTAAGAGCTTTACTCCTACTCTGTTCGTGCTTAATACCTGGCTTCTTACTCCTCCATACTGAGGCAGCTGTAAAACTGATTGGTTTAAGAATTACTCTAATATGGCTAAGTAGATTGCGGAAGGTTTCATGCAGCAAGCAGTGGAGGTAATTGATATATTTTTACACAAGTATATAAAATTCCCAGAACAAACTTTTTTTTTTTTTTACATTTTGTAATGGCTCTTCAAAGTTTTCTTGTCCCTTAGTTTGACACTAACACCTGTATGTTTTTAGCTTGCTATCATGGTAATTTTGGGAGCTGTTCTGGAAGAAGCAGATCAAAGCAAACAGCAACTGTAAAGCTCAGTGGCAGGCGCCTCTTTCTCTTTGCTGGGTTTCTGGATACAGACAGGGGCTCTTTTAAGCAGAGGCAGCATAACTGCGTCCTTGGAAGAGGATGGGAAATTGCCGACGTCTCATGACAAAGTCCTCCTGGGTACTTCTCCTGCCTTTTATCCATGCTTGCTCCTTTTGTGGCCTTGGGTAAGTCACTTAAATTCTCTGGGGCCAGGTCCTCATCTGGTGTAAAAAGGCACAAGTGCATGAGAGCCAATGCTATGCCAAGTTACAACAGCAGGGGATCAGGCCCTCACCCCATTTCTAAAAGGGGGATATTAGCACTTACCTACCTCACAAAGATGCTGTGAGGATTAATGCTCATACAGCACTTTGAAGATGTGAAGTGCTATATAAGTCCCAACTATTATCCTACCTTAGTGTTAAACATGCTTTTAGGGATCCACGGGAGTTCTCTTAAAGCACAGAATGTGTGACTGCCTTTTCAATTTGCATCAGATGGAAAGCAAATGCAAAATATTTACTCACAGTGTCTAACAGGATGGGCTCAGCTGCACCTGAACTCTGAGGAGGGTTTAGCTTAAAAGTCTGAGCTCTAATTTCAGTTTTGCAAATGGTTTTTAGTTCTTCTAAAAGCCTCAACCAAATCCTTAGATGTGAACCTTGCATCCAAATTTTGCAGTCTAGTCTCATCCCTGACCGTTAGCTAGAATAAATCTAATCCAGCCAAAACACAGTGCTGTCACAGTCTGCTATGGCTGTTGAAAAGACTGGAACAGAAGATGAAGTTATTCTGTTCAACCTTCATTGTGCAGAAGGTCAGCTAGGTTTCATGGGACAGCTTGCAAAGGGATGTTTAATTTCTGTGATTGTAAGTTTTACTGGCTTTAAAATCAGCAGAGGGAAGGCCTTGATGGAATCAGTAAGGCTGGCACATCCTTCTTGAATT